CCTTAACTCTTGATTCTTCAATGTGATTATTTTTAGTAATCTTCAAATGGCCCTCTGGCCCTGAGGTGCTGTTCTATACACTTTAGGTGTAGATATTTTAGAGCAAGAACATCTCTTGCCACCGTTTTTTGCCAGCCACCCTCTCCTGACAGGGGCCTTTTGAGGACCTTTTACAGAGAGGCACTAAGGGCTGGATGGAGTTTTGAAATGCAAACCAGGAAATCTATTATAGCTATTAGCTAGCTCCAGGCTCCTAGCTACATGAGGAAAGCACTTCGGGCTTCAAGATCAATGAAATGATATATCTAAATTCCCTTTCAGGATTCAGAACTATGTAATTATAAGACTATAAAAAAAAGATTCTATCTTTGGAGTAGAGATATATTAGTAATAATATAATCACAAATTTTAAAAATAATTTTTTAATGATTATTTTTGTAACAGAGAAATACAGAATATGAGCGGGGGAGGGGCAGAGAGAAAGGGAGACACAGAATCTAAAGGAGGCTCCAGGCTGAGCTGTCAGCACAGAATAATGACCTGAGCCAAAGTCAGGTGCTTAACTGAGTGAGCCACCCAGGAGCCCCGATATAATCACAACTTTAAAAATTGCAGGCAAACATTATTTCTGATTATTAAAAAAACACCATTTTCAAAGATAACACCTATTGTTTCTACATTAACAATATATTATTTGAGATACTTTATGTGAACAGTGACTATGTTTCATCAGGAGTAGGGGGTTTATTATTTTCATATAATATGTGAGGTTTTTTCCTTTTCTTTTTAAGATTTTATTTTAAGTAATCTACACCCAGCGTAGGGCTCAACTTTACAACCCTAGAGTAAGAGTCACATGGTCTACCAACTGAGCCAGCCAGGTGCCCTGAGGTTTTTTCCTTCTATGTCACTGTGTGTGTCTTTCATTGTTTTATTTCTATGGTTCACATTATATAGTGAAATATGGGATGCCAGTGATACAACAGTAATTTCAAAAGAATACAATCTAGGACAAATAGCCTCCACACTTAAAATCTGTTTAAGGACAAATACTCCTTTGAAAAATGATACTTAATTACATAAACTAAGGACAGTTTCTCAACTCTCATTGTGGCTTAATGTCTATGTTAACTGAAGCTTTCCCAGAAAGAGTTGAAATTCTTTTTTCACTAAGTTTGTTTGTTTGTTTATTGAAAGGGAGAGAGAACAAAGAAGAGGCAGAGAGAGCAAGAGAGGGAGAGAGAGAGAGAGAGAGAGAATCCCAAGGAGGCTATGCATTGTCAGCACAGAGTCCAATGCGGGGCTCAAACTCACAAACCATGAGATCATGACCTGAGCTGAAATCAAGAGTCGGATGCTTAACCAACTGAGTCACCTAGGCCTCAAGAGTTGAAATTCTTTTTCCTTCTTTCCAAATGATCTCAAAGAGAATAGTTTCAAGTTTAGAATAACTTTTCCCCTGAACCATCTGAGAATAAGCTGCTGACCTGATGACCAATTCCACTCTGAAACATGACTGTACATTCCTTACAAAGGACATAACCCCCAAGCCATACCAACACTGCCATTAAAACTGGGAAATTAGCAGTTATGTATTACCATTGCATCCCACATCTCATCAGTTTCAACAAAAGTCCCTAAAATGTGCCTTTTAGCCAAAGTTACAGTTCAGAATTAGGCTCTCAGCTGTCATGACCCTCCATTCTCCTTAACTCAGGAACAGCTTTAGTCATTCTTGACTTTTATGACCAGTATAGTTCCAGGATAGTTATGTTGACTATGATTAGATTTGGAGTAGATCTCTTTGGCAAATATATCACAGAGGTGATGTTGTGTTCCCTTTGTATACTATCAGATGGCTCACAATTTTTAATCCTCTCTTTGCTGATGGTTTTCACTTTGATCACTGGAGTAAAGGCTTCTCCACTGTAAAGCTGTTCTTTTTCCCTTTTCATTAATATGACTTTACCAATTTTGTGGGAAGTTACTTTAAAACTGTGTAATATTTTGTGCCTCACCAAACTTTCAATTGATTTATTTAATTAATTTGTATCAGTATGTACTCATAAATACCTGTATTATTCAATGGGCACTCTCCAGTGGATACTAATGGATACTAGTCCATTAGTATTATTATTTATTTTGATGCTCAATTTGTCCCAGGTTTGTCCACTGGGAACTCTCTGGCTCTTGTATCTTTTTGACATGGCCCATCATTCTTTGAGCACTTCATTGCTTTCTGGCACAAGAAGTTCAGGGCTTATCTTATACTTATAGTTAATCTGTTCCTTTAAACAGTTTTAAAAATGACTCAAAACTGCTTAAAAAATTGCTGAAGTTTTCTACTTAGATCTAGACTAACACAATGTCAGGCACATGTAGAGGCTCCAATAATACCTGTTCTCATAAATATTTATTACTAGACGGTTGCTGTATGTGTGGGATGGGGAGTATCTCTAGAAAGGAAGGTGGGTGATCAAGAAAGCATAGAAGCAATGTCCCCCAGAAGTTAAAAATGATCATTTCAAATGTTTCTCTTGCAAACATATTTTTCAAAATAAACATGACCCATTCCCTCAATCTGCTCCACATAAGAGTAATATTAATGATGTTTAAATATTCCCATTTATCTGATAGTTGCTTTAATAAAGTGATTTTACATTTCTTATTTAATTGAAACAGCTTAAAAGAATTAAAGTGAGCCCTTTCCCTAACATTATTCTACAAATCAAAGCATGTTAGCATTCCCTTCAGCTCAAATCAAGCATTTAAATCCAAACACCATGTTCTGACAGTGTTTCCAAACTTTCATAGACATACCCAGTTATTTCAGAGAGACAACTGAATATTGGAAACAGATACTGGAGGGGGTTCCTGGCTGGCTCAGTTGGTAGACCATGTGACCCATGATCTCAGGGTCATGAGTTCATGCCCCATCTTGAGCTTAGAGCTTACTTAAAACAATTAAAAAATAAAGAAAACAGGCATTGGAGTCAGACTGAACAATGCTCAATTTCCTGTTCTACTGCTTAAATAATTTTATATACTTGGGCAATTATTTAATCTCCCTAATTTCCAATGTCCTCATCTGAAAGTCGGGGACAATAAAAGTTAAACCATAGGGTTGTATGCTACACAGTGCAATGCTTGGCCCACTTGTTATACAGTAAATATGACAAATTATAACTATGTTTATTATTAAAATTTGGCCAGTGTCTTAGGCTTATAAGAGTACCTATTTCCAGGTAATTCAAAGCACCTACATAAAAAATAGTCATTAACTCCCCTATAGTCTTTAGCAAAGAGAAAACTGAATCTCACAGAGATCAATACAGATTCTATAAAATGAAATGAAGTTGCTTCACAATTTTTAATCATGCCTTAAAATGAGATGCTAACTTCATGCCTTTTGTACAATACATCGTTCTACAGATTTAGCTTAAGCGGAGGAAAAGGCCAGGACTGACACTATATACATACAGAGACAATTGCCATACGTACATACATCTTCCCATTGATTTACAACTTTTAAGTTATTCCACCTTCATTTGTTTCCTACTTTTTTCTCTATAGAAGTCTACTCTGAATGCCAACTTAAACCTGACTCCGTGCTACCAACAGTATAAATAATCACCCAGTGGTGCACTCTGTAGGTCACTGGAATTTTAAAGCAGTGGTTTTCAACCGGCTTAGGCTCGCATGATTAAATCACATGGGAGCTTTTACAATATCTGATGTCCAGCTTCAATCCCAGACGACCTGAATCAAAAGTTTTGAGGGCAGGATCCAGGTATCAGTATCTGTAAAACTCCCAGGTAATTCTAACACAGAGCCAAGTGAAGAACCACAGGACTTAACCAGAATGCAAGGGCTCTCAGAGCTTCAACAACAGTCTTGAGTGAACCAGGAGTGATCAGGAATAGCGCCAGGGGACAAAAAGTCCTTGACCATTCTTTGTAAGTAGCAGGAATGAAAAAGAGGTGAGTGGCTAGGAAGTGGGGCAAGGAAATTTACGAACTGAAGCAACCCAAGATGCTTTGTCCAACTTAAGCACTGGGCCTTTTAAAGGACATTTATAAAAACTGAAAAATCTTATCCTCTGATTATCTTTCCATCTTTATTATATGTTACAAAAAACCTACAGGCTATAGGCACCTAAGGTGAATTCCTATGAAAGTTTGAAAACCTTGTGTAGAATAGCTTAATTTTAGTTGGCGGTAGGCAGTATTTGTCAACCTGAAAGGCAGTCTGTTGTCCTAATTAGCTGGTAGCACTTTAATATTTGTGACACAGAAACCTGCATTAGAAAGTAGGTTGGGTGAAATACTTTCAACATAACAAGTAATTATAAACAAGTGAAACTACAATGCCAAATCTGGTATTGGGTTTTGGAAATGTTTTGTACACAGATCCCTGTTTCAAAGTGTCTGAAACAATTAAAACAAAAACCACGACAATTTCGTTTTCAGAAACCATGGTAAAAGAAGATGCACACACTGTCCAATGAGTGGGGGGCTTTCGTTGAGTGGTTGTGGTTACGCTATTTCACCTCAGCTCTAAAAAACATCCTCAGGGCCAATCCACCTGCCAGGCAGGGAGCTGCTATTTAAGCCCACTACCGACTCAAGCGAAGGGAGTTGGCCCTGGGGAAGGTGGCTTTCAGGAATCCTGCCACCTTAGAGCTGGTACCCTGCTCCCGCCCGCACCCCCGCACCCGGCCGCCCTCGTCCCAGGAGCGCCCAGACCTGCCCAACTACCAACGCCCCCGACTCGCGGGGCGCTCGCTCTCGGTCCCTAGATTCCCTCCCCGGAGCGGAGGAGCCCGAGCCGCCCCAGCCGTCTCGTCCAGCTTGGACAACCCAAGCCTGGCCAAAGTCCGCACCCGCCGTCTCCAGCATCCGCGCGCCTCTCCCCACCAAGCCCTCGGCCCACGGGGACCGGGGCCCGCGCGTCCCTTGCTGCGCACTCTCCGCCCCAACTCGGCCCTGCGGCCATCGCACCTGAGGGCTGGCCGTCCGCCAAGCTCCCGCGCGCCGCGGCGAGGAGACACAGGAGGGCCAGCGGCAGCGGCCCCCGGGGCCCCAGCAGGCCGGGCGGGGCGCGCATGGCGCCGGCGGGTCAGCCGCGGTCCTCGCGCACCGCCGTCGGTGGCCCAAGTCGCCGCGCACACTCGCCGGGGCCCGGGCGCCAGCTGCGAGTCCCGGGGGGCGGGACGCGCGACTAAAGGCGGAGTGGGAGGGGCCCAGGCGCCCTGCCCTCCTCCCCGGCGCCGCTCTCCCGGCGCCCGCCGCCCGCCGCCGACCCGGGGCTGCGCGCGGCCCTCCATCCTTTATGCAGCACAATGGCCGCGTCCCGCGCGTCCGGCGGTGCAGGGGCCGCTTCCGCGCCGCAGCCTCTCCCGCCTCCGCCCTCCCGGCTCTAGCAGGTCTGGAGCCTGCTACAGACGCGGCAGGTGATGTCTAGCCCGCCTGTTCCCTCCTAGTGTGTATGTATGTATGTCGACAGTATTCTGTGCAGTTCGTCTGAAGCAGGTTCACTGCTTTACTTTGATGAGACAGATGAGAGGATGGGGAACACTTTTCCGCTCCCCCGGGACGTCCTGGGCTATTAAGGAGATTTGTGTTTGCGCAGGTGCTAGGTGCTCTCCAGCTGCTCTGCATCCTGGACGACTCTTCTCTGCTCTCCAATGGCACACACCCTCCCCTCCAGTCTCTGAAGGTTTAACCGGTTCTCTCTAGATTAAGGTTTCCGAGTCCCAAGGCCCCATGGTGTCTGCTTCTCTTTTTCTTTTGTTTGTCTTGCCTTAACAGCTTTTAAGGAGCCACCTAGAGGTGAAGACACAAAAACTACCGAAAGTAGAGACTGTGTAAATGGCACAAGCCTGTCGACCTTCGTCAAACTCGAACACAGTTCTAACTAAGACCGTATTATCTCTTACGCAGCATGGCTGTAGCTTGGAATTTTCAGTGCTCCCCACCAAATAAAATAAAACTGAACTATCAGAGAGAGGAGGAGAAATCTATGTTACATAAAAGAGCAGTAAGTAAGACCTGATGATTTTCCAGGGTATTAGAACACATGAAAAGATGTTCAGTATTTCTCATGAATCTTGTTCCCTCTTTCTTTGTTTTGAGAATGCCAGGTTTGATATTCATAAATTCATTATATCGGTGCCAAAAAACTTTAAAGAAAATATGAGATACAAATTTTGAAAACTGAAGTGCTAAACAAGAAGTATGCTCACTTTACTGAAGAATAAAGTTAAAGGTTAAGTTTTAATTGGTGTATTTCTAAAGTATGCCTGTTTCTGGTTTAACATTACATAGGCAGAATTTCTGAGGAGTGTAGATTATTTAAATTGGTGTTAAGAGAATATGAGTAATACAAGCATATTAATATCTAATTAATATTAAATAATCTACCAAGTGCCACGCACTGGGTTTAAAATAGGCTGCATGGTGTCACCTGGATAGGTTAGTCAGCTGAAGGTCAGCCTTCCTTCAGGTCATTCTGATGAGTTCAAGCCCCACTTTCTGCTGGTTGCTGGCAGCAAAGAGCCCACTTCAGACCCTCTGTCTCCCTCTCTCTGCCCCTCCCCTGCTTGCACTCTCTTAAAAATAAACATTAAAAAAAAAAAAAAAAAAACTCCACTCTAGAGAACTATTTATCTACGAACCACAAATCTCAGGAAAAATTCTTCTCAGTGAGAAAATTATGGTTATGATGATTAACCCTTTCTAAACAAAGCCTTATAAGAAACCCTGTAAGGATTAAGATTTTACATCATGGACTCCCTTGGGACCTTGACCAAGCTTGCTAAACCCAAATTGTCTGATCAATGGTTGCTAAATCACTCTCCAGTCTTGCTGCCCTGAATCCTGTCTCAGGATTAACTACAATCATTTGTCTCTACCTTTGGAGTTTGAACAGTGAGCACTTCTCCAAATAAGCTGAACATTGACTGACTTCCCCAGGTGGTCCTGGCGGTCCTGGGGAATAAGCTTAAATTCACTTTACTTCAAATGAGCTGACCTCGTTTAAGGAAAAATTATCTTCTCGGTTGAATCCATGTGTTGGTGAAAAGGAAAAAGTGACTTGCCCAAGCTGAGGCTAATTCCCACCATCATGTTTGTTGTTACAGCAAGATAAATTGAGAAAGAAATATAATTATATTTTTGCTAAGCATTTTGACAGTCTTTTCCACATTGTTAACTGTTTTTATATTTAGATAGTTAATATGTTTGGCCTTATCTCAACTTCAAATGTTCTATAGTCTTTAAAACTAGCTTATATAATACCTTCCCTGTATAGCTTTTTCTGACCTTTCTAGTCCAAATTGACCTTTCCTTCCATGATGAACTAAATATGGCCACAAATACTTTGACACTGTCCTCACCATGCGGTGTACTGAGGGGGAAAGAGAGCCCTGTGTTTCCCTTCTTCAAAGAGATCGGGTGGTCTCTGTGACCTCTCTGATCTATTGAACATGCAGAAGTAACAATGTGTGAGTTTCCAAATCCAAACCACAAAAGCATCTACTTCCTTCCTCCTTGTTCTTACAATACAGCTGCCAGGAAAGCAGTGTGACTACCTAGAGATCAACAGCCGTGAGAATCCCGAACTGCAGAGAGGAACAGGAACAATGAGATGCCCTGTGGAGGGAGCAGAAAGATGCTATATTTGTGACAGTCTCTTTTTGGAGCCTCAGGAAAGGCCAGCCCCCAGCTAAGTACCATGCAGAGACCCCAGTTGATACGCCATGGAGAAGAATTGGCCCGCTAAGCCCCACCCAAACTCCTGGCCCGCACGATTGGGAGACAGCACCTGTTGTTTAAGCCACTAAATTTTTGGGAAGCTTGCGTCACCACAATAAATTATCCAAATGGTCTCCTCTGAACTCATACTGTCCCCAGGATTAATTTGACAATTAATAATTTATAGCTTTGTGACTTGACCTTCATTGTTGGCTTCAAGTTACATTTAAATATTTTATGAGTATACAACTGGTTATGTGATTATGTCTTCTTCCTTCCCAACCACATTACAACTCTTCTTAGTACCTCAAGATGGTTGTATATGTCTTTGTGTTTCCGGCAGTATCCTAAAAAAAAAATAATTACTTCTAGTATGCTTTGTTTTTACTTTAGAGAATCAGTTAGGAAATACATTTTTTCCTTTTTTCCCCCAAAACTCGTGTTTGTAAAATAATGCTATAAAATCTTTATTTTTTTTTTTCTTTTAGGATATAAGCTGTCATTGAGTGAAAAGTATACAACAGGATCCTAGAAAGTTATGAAAATGAGAATGGGGGGGCCTGGGTGACTCAGTTGGTTGAGTGTCTGACTCTTAATTTCGGTTCAGGTCATGATCTCACAGTTTATGAGTTAGAGCCCTGCGTTGGGACTCTGTCAGTGTAGACCCAGCTTGGTATTTCTATCCCTCCCTCTGTCCCTGCCCCACCCCCTCTTGCCCATACACACTCTATCTCCCTCTCAACATAAAAAAAACAAAAACAAAAACAAAAACCAGGAAAAAAAAATAAAGTGAGAATGGGAATGTGGATGAGGGTTACCTCTTATGGAAAGGAATACTTAATTTTTAAAACTTTTAATAAAAGAAAAACATTATATCAAACAGTAACATAGGAGAGGGAAATATATGTTTCCCTATATCAATCAACAAACCACAATTTCTATTTTTGTCAGTCTGACAGTTGAAAACAGCATGCATTTACAGTTTAATTTACATTTGTTTTATTATGAGTTGGGGTGAGCATTTTTAGTATGTGAAAATGTAATGTACAAGCGTCGTTGCAAACAACAAAATTCAGTCTCGGTAGGTGAAGCAGAAAAATATGCACTTAAAAGTTGTCAGGTACTTCTTGAGATTGTTGAAAACACAGACTCAAGGATAAACTTTGAGAAACACCAGAATTCATGGATACCACTGATGCCTCCCCCATCAAACATGAAATGCCAGGGACTTGACACCCTGCATCCACTCCCATCCCTGAGGCCTCTTGCGTGTCAACAGCTGGCCCTTGGCGATCCCTGCAGCCACTGCACTAGCCAGTGGGAGGTCTGCTCTGCTCCCCTCCAAATCAGTCTCGCTCACCCCGGAGTGTAAGGCCTCACCCCTAGCTTCCAGAGGAGATGCTAAGTGTTTGAGAGAAGGCAGAATTCCGAAAGTAAAACTATCTCTAAATACAGAAGCATTTTCCAAATATAAGCAGGAGTCCTGAATATGTCAAATAACCGCTCCAGACCTCTCCATGGTGACAGGCAACCTTTCTTCATCCTGATTCTTTGAAACAACAGCAGATGCTCCCCCGGCTTGATATGCTTTGTACCCACTTCACATGCGGACACCCCATCCAACCCCAAAGGAGGCCCTGTCTCATTAGAAGGGGAAGTTGGATCCCTTCTAATGCCTTGTACAGATGCACATTCTAAGGCCCTGGGATAGGAGCTCGTAGCGTGTTCATTGGACATATGTTTTTGTAAAATTTGCTAAAGTAAACATTGTAACTGGAATTATTTAATATGACCACTTATTTCTACTCCAACTGCTCTTGGATCTCACTTTCCCACATGTCAGATGGGATGCTGTGAACATTTTTGAGATCCTGCTACGAGCAACTTGAGTTAAGGATACATTTCATAGAGATTTGTTATAATACAGTTTTGTGTTCTGCGGTCCCTTTGGTAGAGAAACAAGTTACTGCTAGCCACCCGGTTTAGAAATGGCTTTAAGGTATACAGACTTTTTGCTGTGTGATTCAGCTAGCCTTGTGACTGACTGAGCTGACTCTCTGGGCATGCTGACATAAAGGTGAAGAATCAAAGACCAGATCCTGATACCATATTGTCACTTGGCACCAGAAATAAGTTGATAGGGAGGGAAAAGGATGCCATAGCCAAATAAAAAATGTAATGGTCTGAATTATATCTCCACCCCAGACACATCAAATTCATATGGTGAAGCTCTAACCCTCAGTACCTTGAATGTGACTATATTCAGTGATAATCCTTTAAAGAGGTAATTAGGTTAAATGAGGTCATATGGGTTGGCCCAGAAGCTAATATGACTAATCTTGAACCTAATCCAATTTTGAATCCTTAAAAGAAGAGGAAGAGATACCAAAGGTAGCGTGCACGCGCGTGCGCACGCGGGCACACACACACACACACAC